GAAAATTTTTGTTTTTATTTTTCCTTCAAATTACTTTTTTTCAGTATTTTCATATCATTTTAACACATAGATATAAAAATAATAAAAAATAAAGAATATATTACTTTAATATATTTTTTCAAAAACACTTCTAAAAAACAATGTTACAGTAATTTAGCTCAAAGATAAAACATGCTCAACAATAAAATATCATGCTGTCTTCGATCACCAAAACTTACATGAAAGGATCTTGTTCCTGTATCACCTTGAACTACAAAAATTCAACACCTACTGCAATTAACTTCAATTATACAGGTATTCTCTCAACGATTTTGATTGATTTCACATGAATACCATTGCAAATAGTCAAACGAGTTGCATAGGTTTATGCTGATTCAACATCTGATTCATCCAGACCTTCTCTATAAAGCTCAAAATCCTCAGGGCTCCATCGGCAAATTAAGTGAAGTCGGAAGGTGGCCATCTTGGTGCCTAACAAGCGCTGAAATAAGTAAAATACATCAGCCACGTATCTTTAACCAGAAGAAAAGGAAAACACACTGTGAGCATACTAACTAGCAAGCAAAGTCAAAGGCCATGCCAGAACTAACCAGTATGCGAGAAGACTCAGGCGAGAGAGGCTTCCCCTCTTCACAGACAACAAAGTTGGAAACAAGCTCTATCACACCTGCAGACCACGATAAAATTAATAACAGACCTCAAGTCCTTTGTGCATGTGTGTTGTGCGTGCGTGCAAGAGACAGAAAATAGCAGAAAGCAATTGTGCACCCTTATTCAACCGAACAGGCATCCCTTGCTTGCGCAAAAAGGGCTCCATCTCATGAGTAAACTGTTCCAGGGGACCCTCCTTAAGTTCCACCTGTAAAACCCAGTACCAAGTTAGAATTACAGAACTTATACACAGTGCAAAAGAGGAGGTCATTGATTTATAACGCATCTAAACTACGCATTTATATTTTGATGAAGATGAAATAAAAAATTTGACTGTTTCCAAACTGGAGACTTCAAGTGGATGTTAAAAAAGGACAGACTGAAAAGCAAATTAAAGATCCACGATGATATTTTCCTTAGTCAATTACAAAAAGGGTATGTATATATAGTAATCATTATACATGTGCATGCATGTATCTAGCTATTTGATTCAATGCAGCAAGGCAAGGTTCAACCTATTCAACCAGCATGTAAGTCTACTGCCAGCCATAAAAGATTTTGCATACCGTTTCGGTTGCAGTGGTTCCCGTCCTAGCAAAGTCATATTCCTTATACTCATTAAACAACCTGCAAAAAAACAACTAAAAACATTTAACTCATGAAGTTGTATTTTTATCACAGAATAGGTGCACAAAATTGCCAGAAATTCAACCAAATCCATAAACATATTGTCAAGTACAAGCTCCCAATAAAGAACTAGAAGTGTTATATTATAAATGATCAGTGTATATGCCCCCCCGCTGACCCATTACATATGGCACTGCCTTACATCTATAGAACCAGATTATGAATATGGCCCTTTTGTCACAGGTAACAAGGCATTACATATGTGAGTGGTTATCATTTTCTCACTGAGGAACATCAGGTTTCCTCTTATTTATATTCAAATAATAACATAAATAAAAATTATTTGAGTAATTGAAGTTCCTTTCTACTTCATCAAAAAGATGACTGGAATAATTCCAATAACAGCAAGACACCAGGACCTCTATTTGGTTCCTCTATTTCCAAACAACCCAATAGAGTACAGGATGTAACATTTATCACAATAAGTACTAGGGTTACCTTTCAACTTCTTCTCTTGACAAGTTGGTAAGAAAAAGTCCAGAATCACCACATAGAAGCTAAGAGAAAAAATGCATAAAGAAAATGTAAGTCATCAGAATTCTTTATCAAGATAGAAAAATGTGAAACTATGGCTGTGTATATGTTCATGCTACCTTAGAAACTTTGTGAAGACCCGGCCTGATTTCATCAGCAGCAAATCGGCCCAGAGAAACCTGCATCACTTTGTTTGACCCAAGGAAGAATCTGACAAAACCATAACAGTAAGTTGGTTATGTATAGAAAACCAAGTGCTCAACAAATTGGTAAGATGTTGAAGAGCCAAGTGCTTGAAATTCCCATGAACTAAATTGTTTAAAAAAAATGAGGAAAACTTTTGAGGAAAACAAAAACACAAGGAGTTTCATTCAAGAAGATGGCTATCTTGAATCACATATAGTTAAACGGCATCCCCAAACAACACAAGGAGTTTCATTCAACAATCCAGAAGCAAACTATCTAACCCTTGAATTTGAGATTCCTCATGTTTCATTAATACAAAGAAGACAATCTCGGGTGGCTTGTCTTCTGCTAAAAAGAAACAAAAAGAAAATCAGAAGCTACCTGCTGGTTAATTTATGCTGTTCTCTGAACTCCTTGAATTTGAGATTCCTCATGTTTTCAAAACTAAACACATAAATAGAATTGTATTTCTCCACAGCATCCCTTATCGAATTCACTATAGACTCTTTATGCTCCCTCCCCTTCTTCTTTGTTTTTGATAATGTAACTGCATATCACACAACGAAACCTCTATAAATAACAAAACCGATCATCCATATTGCAAATTCTCATCTTCTATGACCTCAAAAGCATTTTTTATTCTTTTTTTTCCAACGGCAACATAAAGCATGAAATTACGCAGATTTTCTTGCCTATATAATTCAAAAGCAGCACAAGCTGAAGATCGAAAATACTGAAACACCAATTAAAAAAAAAAGTTGATCAAAACAAGTTCAAAATCCCCACAATTACTCAACAAACTAAACCCAAAAACTACAGCTATCACCCAGACAAAGTTACACTCAGTTGTCTTTTAAGCCTAAAACAACAAAATCCCAGACACCCACGAGCCAGTTTTTCTCTCATAGACTAAATTGCCCACACAAGATAGGTCACAGTCACGTATATGTGCAAATATGAGAAAGGCAGAACAAACCTGGCCTGTTACGCTTAGACTTAGGCATGGTTAGTTTACGAAAGGCGGCTCCTTTACTACTTCAAGGGACAAGAGAAGTTTATAAACGAGAGTGAAACAAAGATGCAAGCTTTGCTTGCTTTGGTTTTAGGGTTTTAGACGGAAATAGCAGACCTTTTAAAGTGCTACCATTGTAATATTAAAAAACAAAAGAGGGTATTTATGTCCTTATAAAAATAGCAATCTTTTTTAGATTAACGTGGGTGTCCGGTCAGCTTGCGCGCACCACGACTAATTCCACGGGCTTTAAGTTAACGATCAAAAAAAAAATAGCAATCTTGTATAGGTATATGGCCTCTGTTTGGTATTATAGTTATTTTTGTAGTTATAATTTTAAAAAAATAGTTTAATAAAAAGTATTTTATGTAAGATCCATTTTAAATTTTGATATATTTAATTAAAAATATGGTTAAAAAAACAACTTTTTATGTTTGATTAATATATTTTTTGTATTAGGTTTGATTGTAAAATTACCTAAAAGTATATATATATATAAAAAAAAAAAACTATTTGTAATTTTATTGGCTATAAATCTCATACGTGGAAGCCTTTATAATCCTTGAATAACTGAGCGAAGTACAATGTGAAGTAAAAAATAAAATTAAAATTGCGATTATATTTGAAAAAAATCTCATCATCCTGCGATCTTCTTCTAATATAGTTATATAGTGCCGTTGATATAACTAAACATCCACATATTTAATTTTTTTAAATAAACATATACAAAAATTACCTCTAAATATAACCACTCAATAAAAAAGTTTTATACAAATAAATTATAATAGAATAAATAATATATGTTTTGTTGCCATTATTACATAAAAACTTGCCTGAATTTTCACCGACCAATAAAAACTAAGCATATTTAATTTGTATTTATACTCGTTTTTAAAGGGTATCATTTTCAAGCATGGATAAAAAGCATCAAATCTTCTCTTCCCTTTAGTCTCTCATTTGCCTCTTTTTCATTTTCTTTCTCCCTCGGTTTAAAAACAACACAAGATTAAGATGTAATTACCAGTACAACGAAGCAAATTACCTCTAAATATAACCACTCAATAACTATATTAAGATGTAATTACCAATACAACGAAGTATCTTATAGTAGTTGTCCTGAAATTTAGAGGAGAGAGCACAACTACTTTTAATTAAAAGATGGCTACTGAATAATAAGCAAAAAAAGATATCTATCTCCTCAACATCGATAGATTAAAAAAAAACTGGGGAAAACTTTTGAAAAGAATCCAATAGAATCAAAGAATTCATTGCACATGGTAAATTTAGACTACTTGAATTGTTTGGAAAGGATATTGGATGAGGATAAGGTGTTCAACAAAATCGTTGTCCAGGCCAAAGATATCAAAACAAATTAGAAACAGAGGGGAAGATGGGCTCTCCAATGAAAAAGTATTGCAATATTAATTAAAATTATATAGTGTTGATGAGAAAAAAAAGCACGATAACAAAAGATATTTATTTTTTGCTTTTTAAAAACTCAGGTTTAACCTTAATTTAAAAAAAAATCCATATAAAAAAATATAGTTAGTAGTAACCAAACACTTTAAAATATTTTTTCATGTGAATAGTAATGCAGCAGCACAACAACAAATCCAAACACTTTAATAAACATTCAAAACATAAACCTACACTGTACATTCCCTCTATGTCCATGAGTAATAATAGTATAAAAGTATTTTTAAATTTTTTAAATTTTTTTAAATTCTATTTTTAATAATTTTAGATATTTTAAAACATTAATGTTGAAATTATTTTTTTTTAAAAATAATTTAATATATTTTCAATAAAAAATAATTTTTAAAACAATATTGAAAACTTATCAGCTATTAAGCTGTAAGAGAATAAAAAAGTATATATTTTGTCTGCTAAGTTTGTCTGAAAAAAAGCTCTCGAAGGACAGAATTTCCTATTCTACAATGGTAAGTTAAAAAGCTTTAAACTTTTATTAAGCTGTTTTGTTCTTTGCTATCAATAATAGTGAATAATGTAGCATCCAAATTTTATTATGCATTGCTTCTTAGCTAACAAAACTTATGGAAGTTTTATAAAGATGGGATCTTTTTTTGTAGGTGATGTGGGCGGTGTTTGTTTTAGACCAAACCATCCATTGAAACCACACAGGCTTTGAATGACACACCATCTTGTTCTCTCTTACAAGCTTCACAAGAAGATGGAAGTTTATGTATGGTAATTATGCTAAAGATTCGAACTTTCTATTGTTTTGTTGTGTAATTTTTGGAAACTATGACGCGGGATGCTTTTATTTGTGTTGAACTTGCTTGGTAGAGACCCCACAAGGCATATCCGGTTAAGCTTGCTCAGTTTCATTCAGAGGATTATGTTAAATTTTTGCATCAGATTACGCCGAGATGCTCAGCACTTGTTTGCGGGGGGATTGGCTAGATGCGTGGATTTTTTTGTAGTGAAATCTAGTCAAGTATTTTTTTTCCTTATTTGTGTTGTTTAAGTATATGTTGTTTTTGTGTTGGGCGTGGAATGAGCTGGGGTTCATGGACGATTAGCTATGAAAGTGAATTTAGTTTAGGTGAAGAGTGAGGTGTGATCTTCTTCTTCTTCTTTTGTTGTTGTTGTTGAGAGAATTGACTAGTCTAATGTGCTTGACCTTGTGTAGTCTGGGCAATGATTCGACATGAATGAAGCATCAGTGACTTGTTCGAATGTTGAGTTATGATTGATTTATTGCATGATCTGCTGGGATTTATCTCAATCTGGCTATGATATTTCATCTTGAGTGCATTAAGATGTAACTGTAAAATCATCACATGACGCCATTTGTGGTCTGTAAGGCTTTCGAATTGGTGCTTTTGAGTTGGTATGGTAAGGAACCCCATATGGTTCATTTCTTTAGAAGGGAAAAGTAATCTTTGCATTTGGGATTCTGGGTATAAATTAATCTCATTTTTTAGGAGATTTTTGCATATCTGTGTATTTGGTAATGCTGATAGGCTATTATCATTTTGCTGGACTGTAGGCGTCTGATTGGTAATACTAGAGCTTCTTGAAATTCTTGCTACTGTACTGCATCAATTCATAGTTCCCCTGGCCAATGTTGATGCATGCGTCGAGTTCTTTGATTAGAAGGATAGGCTAGCTCTAATAAGAATACTGAGAGTGGAGGTGAACTAATCATCAATTGCAATATTTCACAGTGGTGATGAACTATCTTCGTGACCATGCAGCATCTATTGAAGCTAATCACACTCCATTTTGAGGGATTTACCAATGGAACATGAAAAACTAAAACCAGGTTCAAGTTTCAATTTTGATAATACATCATAATTTCTAAAGTAAAAGAAAAAAAAATGAGAAGGATCTGGCTCATATTCAAATGAAAAAAAATTCCCTACAATGGAAGAACAAGTGTCATAACTCCTGCCCTGGTGTCAGGCAGGCAGGGAAGCAACCGGCCAACAACTGTAAGCCCAACTCAGCTTGGATGGACTAATTTAATGAGACATCATGAGGTCAGGTCTGGATTAGGAATAAAGTCATTAATATTCTAGTTTTAGCCTATAGTGAAAACATAGGTGAATCATCATTGTTATCTAAAAAAAATCCTTGTTTATTTATTTGAAGATTTTTGTTAATTAAATTAGAATGGGCACAAGAAAAATCAATTATCTTTTTAAATAAAATTTTATTATTATGATAAAATTATCATTGTTGAAGCAAGGAGAAAAAATTGAATCTGACTGTTTTTTTCTATTATTGTTCTTTGGGTGCTTTCTTTTTTGTAGGGAAAAATTTAGTATTTGCTATCAAAATAAAATATTTCTAATTTATTAATAGGTAAAAAAATAACATATTTGATAATTAATTAGACCTGCAAATATCTGAGCTTATGTTTTACTGAGCCCAGAAATCATGTATATCAACCTTTTCATGGTAAAACTAAAATAATTTTATTTTCGACTTGAATTTATGATGCAGTGGTTATAAAATAGGCTTGTTTTTTATTTTAATATTTAAATTTAATTTATATATATATATATACTTATTATTTTTATGATGTTTTACTTTTTATGATATTTTACTTATTTATTTATTTTATAAAATATTTAATTAGTTTAAAAAATAATCATAATACATATAAATTATCCGAACAATTGGTTAAAATAATAATAATAATAATTTTACCTTGATCACAGCCACCCATATCACTTTCAAAGGAGATGAGCCTCCTTGCACAAATCCTAAAGAGCCTTACATGTCTTGAAGTCAAAATAACATCTCAATTGCCCCTCCTACCATAAAAAATCAAGAACAACATGGTGATCACAAGCTCAGCTGAAGTTCAAGAATCAAACTATGACAAAAAAAAACAACTCAAAGCTTTTGATGACACGAGAGCTGGAGTGAAGGGTCTAATAGATAATGGAATGACCAAGATTCCAAAGATATTCGTTCATGACAAAAGATCAGATGTTTCAAGTGATTCTGATCAGAATGCGGCTGTTCCGTTGATAGACTTTGAAGGCATAGATGAAGATAGAAGTCAACGTGCAAAGGTAGTCGAGGGAATAAGAGATGCTTGTGCCGAGTGGGGTTTCTTTCAAGTGGTCAATCATGGAATCCCAGTTAGTGTTTTGGAGGAAATGATTAGTGGGGTAGCTAGGTTTCATGAGCAAGAAAGTGAAGTGAAGAAAGAATGGTATTCAAGGGATTACACAAGGAAGGTGCTTTATAATTCAAATTTTGATCTTTATCAAGCCCCAGCTGCCAATTGGAGAGATACTTTGAGTTGTGTCATGGCTCCTCGCCAGCCGAATCCCCAAGACTTGCCTCATGCGTGCAGGTTAGTTGGTAATAGTTGATAAAAGGATGGATTCGTGAGAGAAAAAAGATGTGATTTTTGCTTATAATTATAAAGTAGTTTTTAGCTGTTTCATTTAAGGTGTTTGTGTTATGCTTCTTTTAATATGCCTATTTAATCGATTTGCAGAGATATTATGATTGATTACTCAAACAAAGTAATGGTTTTAGCACAAAGATTATTCGAATTGCTGTCAGAAGCACTAGGACTCGATCCTAATTACCTTAAAGACATTCATTGTGCAGAGGGACTCTTTTTTCTGGGCCATTACTACCCAGCATGTCCTGAACCAGATTTGACTTTTGGCACTAGCAGCCATTCTGATAGTAGCTTCCTCACTGTTCTTCTACAAGACCAAATTGGCGGCCTCCAAGTCCTTCATGAAAATCAATGGGTTGATGTTAACCCCATTCCAGGAGCTCTTGTTATAAACCTGGGAGATATGTTCCAGGTAAGTTCATGTCCAAATACATACTTCATTGGCTTGTCAGGTAATGATTGTGTGAAGTTTAATACCTCTACTTGATTGATGAATGATCTAGACTGACCAGCAGAGAGTTATGATGACTAGAATTTGTAATTCAATTGGGAACCAAATCAGTCCACTCTCTGAGACAATGCTATTACAGTTTTGAATGAGAGTTGCGACTTGCCATGCTTGTGATAACTAGATGGTGCTAGCAAAAACTATAGGTACATGTCTTACCTTTTCTCCATGTCTTGGTGCAGTTAATTTCGAATGACAGATTTATTAGTGTCCAGCACAGAGTGCTAGCAAAAACTGTAGGTCCAAGAATTTCTGTGGCATGCTTTATAAGGCAACACCTTCCGCCTGAGAATGCCTCGAGACTATATGGGCCAATCAAGGAATTGCTATCAGAAGAAAGCCCCGCAATCTACCGAGAAACCACTGTGAAGGACTTGGTAACCCACTACTATGCAAAAGGGCTCGATGGAATCTCTGCATTGGAGCATTTCAAGCTGTGAAACTGGTTGTGAGTATCTTCTTGCTCAAGCTCTAGCTAGAATGCTAGTGAAATGCTGTTCCTTCGAACGGTGATAATTATGTATGAGCGAGGTTGTCTTGCCGCCTTGTCTTGTTTCATATGTTTCCTCTTCGGATCCGTATGTATTTCGACTAAATTACATTTAGACATTTCATATCGGCTGGACTTGGAAGCTGGTTAGGTGTGGTTGGTTTGCTGTCATTTTTCGAATCTAACCTGAAAGTGGCAGTCGGCCATTTTTAAAAGAACAACTACAGCAGGAAATGGTATGAAACTTAGGATCACTTCTCTTTGTTTGTTTTTTCCCCAACGAATTTATCTGTTTTCTCTCATCATTCAAGAATCTAGTTTGACAAGCATGGTTATTTTAAGCTCCCATTGAAGCAGATTACCTTAATAACAATCACAATTCACACACGTTGAAATCCATACAAAAGATAGTACATCCCCCGGTTCAAACTTCGAAGTTTCAAACCCAAGTTGTCTTGCACAGACGAACCAATGTGTTGCAGTGAGCTAAACCGTGTTTGCTTTGCCTTTCTTTTTCCTAACAATGTCATTGTATATTTGTTCAAACCCACGACAGCTGGAGCAAGTCGGTGGATTGGTTCCATATTTATTACTAATTTGTTTCCATCTGTAAGGTAGGAATTAGAAACTTGTAATTTAGTCCCTTTTTTTTTATTCTTGTAATCAGAAAGCGCTTTTGAGTTTATTTTTTTACTTAGATTAATTTTATGTTTTTATGATGTACTATATTAAAAATAAAAAATATATTAATATATTTTTAAATAAAAAATACTTTAAAAAACAACCAATACTATAATATTAAACACTGCCTGCCTGCAACTTTAACTGAGAAAACTTGTAATTTGTTTTTCATTTTGAGAAAAACAAATCAATATCTTTCGGCTATAATAATTAACCGATAATTCAGGACTTGATCTAATAACCCACATGCTTTTACAGATCAATTCTGGAATCAAATACACCTTTTATGATTTTGATATGGCTATATCTCTGTGACCGTAGGCCAGACTGCTTCCTCTGTTTTGGGGATATTCTTGATTCCTGAAGGTCTTTGAGCGCGTGTTGAATCTTCCTGCATTGAGGTCCATTTGTGCCAGTATTATCATCATTTTCAGACGGCAAAACGTAAGAGAGCCATAAAGTTCAAACATAAACAGAAGAAAAGGCTAAAGAGTGCCTCAAAAACAATGCCGCAAATTATGTTTTCTCGTTTGCTTTTGAAGTGATTTGGTGTGTTCACGGCAAGCACTTAGAAAGAGATGGATCTGTGCAGGGCAAAACTCCCATTGGTGTGTTCACGGCAAGAAGGACGTGACCACTTTTTCTTTGTCAAATGTCTAGGATGTAGGGTAGGGGTCAATGGATTGCTGTACTCGTCCACAACAATTTCTTCTTCTTTTTAATTTTTATAATAGAAAGAGAAGAGTATGCTTGAGATCCCTGCTCACGAAATGAAACTAAAAGCGTCTTTGTTTGAGTAACGGTTTGGAATGCAGTTTAATTTGTGTTTTTAAAAAATTTAAAAATTTTTGTTTTATTAAAATTTAATATACTTTGTATATTTTATATTGTTTTGATGTATTGATATTAAAAATAATTTTTAAAAAATAAAAAAAATTATTATTATTTATTTTGATATGAAAAATTATTTAAAAAATAACTATTATTATATTATCGAACTCACTCTTAAACTAAAAATTAATATTAAATCAAGAAATATCATGGAGTCATGAGAGAGAGCTTCAAAAACTATCAGGGTTTTTTAGAAAGGAAGGGCATATTGAGAATCTTAAGATTATTAAAGAATA